TAGCTCTGCAGCTTCAWCATCAAACACTGAAATCTGTGATATTTCATTCAATTTGTTTTATAGAAGATGGAAACTAGTGGATGGTGGTCAGTCTCTACAGTGAATGTAGGAAAACAATTGATGTAGTTGTGGAAYCTTTCTAGGATAAAAACTACAGTGAAACATTAATTTTCTGTTTGAGCATAATGCTGCTCTGTCTGCCATAGACTACAGGTTTAAAATGTTTACCTTCAGCCTGAAGTAGAAATGCTCTTATTCCATCCTTTGAAGCATCAATTGACATATYGACTTTCTTTGCTGGATCAAAATAGGTTCTGTTTCGAGTGCAGTTTTTAGATGTTGTCACTCATGCTCTTGYTTGGCTGTCCACCTAAACTCTGTTTTGTGCAGAAGGTCATGAATACATGAAGTTTTTGCAGAGAGATTTGGAATTAATTTACCAATGAAGTTGATCCTGCCCATGATGTTAGGAACGCCAGTTTTATCTTTAGGTGCTTGTATATTCAGTATGGCATTTACTTTTGCCTTCATCAGGTTTAATTCCCTCTGCAGAAAGTTTATATACCAGAAAGAGAAGCCCATTCACTTCAAACTGACATTTTTCTTTCCTCAATTTGAGTCCATATGTTTGTATTCTCTTCAGCACTTTTGTCAGCCTCTTCAACTGAAGAACCCCAAACATTGATATCAACGTCAATTCTAGCACCCAGCAACCCTTTAATAGTTTCTTCCATTGTTCGTTCATTCATTTGTTTTCTTCTTCTTATCCGGGGTCGGGTTGCGGAGGCAGTAGCCTAAGCAGAGAGACCCAGACTTCCCTCTTCCCAGACACTTGGGCCAGCTCAATCAGGGGAATTCCAAGGTGTTCCCAGGCCAGCCGAGAAACACAGTCCCTCCAGCGTGTCCTGGGTCTTCCTCTGGGTCTCCTCCCAGTGGGACGTGCCCAGAACACCTCACCAGGGAGGCGTCCAGGAGGCATCATAGCCAGATGAACCACCTCAACTGGCTCCTCTCGACGTGGAGGAGCAGCAGCTCTACTCTGCCCCCCCCCCCCACCCCCCCGGATTGTGTCTTCCATTGCTCTATGAAAAAATTTCAGTTGCTGATATTATACCAAAAGGTAATCTCAGGAAACAATACCTTCCAAAGGGATTGCTAAAAGTGCAATACTTAGTTTCATCCAATTTTAGTTCCCAAAAGCTTTGTGATGCATCAAACTTTGAAAAGCACCTGGCTCCAAACATTTCATTCATAATTTCTTCATGTGTTGGTAGTGCTCATGCTTGATATTATTGTTCAGTGGAAAAGGTAGTAAAACACTGATATTATTTAGTTAATGAAGATATGTGTCATAAAGATGAATGTACACTACTGATAATTTGGTGCTCCTAAATCAAACTTGAGGTGGTAATATGGCTACAACACCAAGCTAAATATATATTTTACATAAAAATTACACTCACTTAAACTCAGTACAGTGAAGGCCCTGAAAGTTGTCTTTCACAGTTTGTGCACTCAGTCTTTCACAGATTATTTTGATAGAATCTAATTTCTAGTAGTAGTGGTAACCCGCGTAAGATYGCGGAAACTGGAAATACAGTAACTACAGAAATTTTTCCTCTTGTAGGTTTTCATGAGTTTTTAAGCTAAATTATTAAGCATATTATAATTTACTAATTTTGTAACATAAACACTATCTTAAATTCAGTTCTATGACACATGCTGTGTCCAAGTTCTTCTCAGAAAGCAGCATTTATTTCTTCTAACAGTTTACTGTACAGTCATGCATGGTGAGTAGCTGCTAACTGTTTCACTCTGATGTGTTTTTGTTTGGCTCTTACTGCATTACGATGCCACCCTAACATGTTGTAGGTCTTTTCTGGACTGCATCGAATATTTGTGTTTTTTTTACGATTCACAAGCTTTAAGAAAGTAGCCAACCCCCTGCAAAAATTGGGGAAAATTGCGTCTTCACTGTACAGTATTCATCTTCATAGCACTGCATATGGACATTAACTAAACAATATCACTGTTTTATTAATTTTCTACTCAAACTCTCCTGACTGCAGTCCTTTGGAAGTTATGCTAAAAACAGAGGGCAGTTGGTAGCAGTGGCAGTGCACCACATCATAGAAGAAGCAGATATTTTAGTGTAACTTCTGTTGTGGTACTTACCCTTCAGGGCCACCATACATGTCTACATGAAATTCATATATGAAAATTTTAACAATTTTAAGAACACGTTTTCCTCACCAAAAACTGAGTACAAGGAAGAGGTGTAAACACAGAAAATCTTAGTTTTTATCAAATATTTGCTTTTTATTCATCATTATTCTGGTTTGATTTGTCTTCACTTGATGTCAAATCAGAGTCTTTTTTGGTTATGTTTCTTAATAGAATGAGTGTTGACGAATGAGATTTTTATGAATACAATCATTCAGAGGAAGATGAGCTGTGTGTGTGAATGGTTTGTGTTTGGCAGAGAAGATCAGGTCAGGGACAGAGAAGGAGGGGTGATGATCAGATCCACTGTGTTCAGAAGCARCTATCAGGGCTGATTGTCTCCAATTAATTGCATGACTTGAAAGCTGCTCTGTGGGGCAAAACACATTCTGTTGCAGCAGCTGACATGATTACCTGACACTTCACACACAATGAGCTTCGTTCCAGGAGTCAGTTTGAAGTGTCTGATGTAAAGCATTAAATGAGAACTTATTAAAGGACTATCTGCACACATGTAAGAAGGCGTTGACCCAGGCAGGGCAAGGCACAAACAAAATAAACATGGAGGATTCATTCATTCATTCATTCATTCATTCATTCGTTCATTCATTCATTCATTTTTGTGATGCGAATGTGAAAGTGTGTGACATGTACTGTCTATTACAGCTGTCATGTACAGTATTCTGGAAATTTCAGCTTGAAATGACACTTTGAAACTTTTGCCTCCAGTAGTTAATGCGGGTGTTCACATGAAAGTGCTATGAACACTCA